ATGATAATAGATACTATTTGAATTTAGAGGGCCTGTGTGATCTATTGGATGATTTGGTTCTGTGTTTTGACATTAGTTGAGATATGTGCTAGAAGGTAAGCTGAGATAATATGAACTTTGTTGTTGTGTAGAAAGAACAGATTGATTGTGATCACTATACCCTGAAGTATTTGAATATTGTGAATATAGGGAGTGAGTGCTTGAAATAGAAGGATAGCTGTATCCATGCTAGCTTCCTGAGGATGTTGTAGTGTAGTTTGGTTATTATTAGAAGTAAAGCATTTGTAGTATGAATTATGTAGCTATAAGTTAATATATTAGGAGTGTGCTAGTTTTGTTTCAGTAATTGATATAATATCTAGTTGTTGGACCAGACAATAATCAAACCAGAGTTGCTATTTTGTAATATCATTAAAACCTTGAATGTTGTAAATAGCAATAGTTAATGGTCGTTGTAGTGGTTTAGTTATACTGTGTATATAATTATGATTATTGTAATTTTGCATAATTGTTATTTAATGTCTATGGCTGTGTCATTCGCCGATGATATATGATGGGGTTTGGCTATTTGTTTTGTAAAAATATCTCATATAGGAGTTGGTAGTTGAGTTAAATTAAGTAGAAAGTTTGGAATTGTTTTTATATTAAAGTATTGTCATAGCGTTCTCATTGTAGATGTAACTTGGACTTGTTCACTAATTGGCAATATTATTAAAAGTTTATAACTCTCTAGGATATTTCTAACCTTATTGAAGTTATTGAGTAGTGGTGGTAGAGGTTTGTTAGCCAGTTGTGTGTAACTATTATTGGAGGCTTCACCTGTTTCTAGATCTGGGTTGATGGCCATAGTTGTATTAGATATATTGACCCACTCTGCAAGCAGGTGAGTAAAGTAGTAGTATTGTTATAGTAGCCTAACAGTTTGTGTAAGCTGTTGTTAGGTAGTAATTGGTATAGTAATCTTGTATTGGGTAGAGACTTTTTCACTACTTGGTAGATATGGCTTGGTTGTAAGGTTGGCTTGTATAATATTGTTGAAGAGAGGGTAACATATTTTGTAGCACAATGATACTTCTTTAATAAAGGCCTAGCAGTATCATCCTGCGTAATATGGTATATATATTCGTTTTGTGTTTTAATTTGTTTAGGGTTAGTTGGGAAAAGTGGTTTAACTGTAAAGTAGTCACTTGGGAGAAGGCTAAATCTGTAATATTGTCACAATTGATGGATGGCTTCAGATAGGGATACTTGGGCTAGCATTGGGTTATAGAAGAAAAGTCTTCTGACATTTGGGTTAAGTTCTTGGTATGTTGTAGGCAGTAGTTGCTTGGAGGAAGTAACTGGAAATATGATAGTAGAATAGAGTCACAGATATAAGAATCAGCAAGCTTGCACCTATAAAATGATAAGTATTGGAAAGATTGATGGTTTGTTATAGGAAAATATTGTCACAGTTGAGGCTGTAAGTCAGCTATGTCTGTAGGTAGAGCAGACAAAGTTTGGAAATAACTTTCAGGTAGTTTGTCAAAACTGAAGAGCTTTCTTAAACTGTTAACAATTGCTGCCATGTATGATCGTTGTTTGATCAGAAGTATAAAAAGAAATTCTTTAGTAATATATTCTGGTATAAGATCAGGACTTGTAGGAAGAGGAAATAATTTGTTCTGGAATGCTTTGAATATAGCATTCTTGATTTCCTTAGGAGTATCATCATTTTCATTTGGGATTTGAAGAAATCTTCTGGTGTAATAGATTAGTTTAAATACTGCAACCTGGCTGATTGTAATAAAATTATTATTAGCAAGGTGCTGTGCAATAAGCATCTTTTTGAGCATAGAATGAACAGTTTTGCGCATTTCACGATTTATAATTGTGAGCTGGTTGTTAGCCTTGTAATTTGCAAGTGCTGTATTGTATAGGTTTGTATATTTTTTCTGATATGCTAGTATAGTTTTGAGGTTTCTAGAAAATATAGTGAAAAATCTTGTATCAAGGTGTTTAAATTTCAGATTAATCGCAGAAGGTAGTTTGTATTGAGTAGGAGTAGAGCTGATTTTGTGTTGCACAAATTGGTATATACTATCAGGAGTTTGAAGCAATGTAGCTATGATATCATATGTCCAGTTGTTTTGATCAAATGGTTGCTTTGTACCTTGTACGATTTTGCTTGCAACCTGCTATACTCATGCTGTACTATCAGGTATCTTAAAGGTAGGTAGGTTGTGGTTTTTCTGTGTAACTTGGCTGTAGGATAGTTTAGTTATTTCTGTAAAGTCCATAGTGGTTGCTGTATATGTAGGTGATACTGTTGATAGTGATTGTAGTATCTGCATATCTGTAGTAGTAGTGGTACTAATTGGTGTAGGTCTAGGCCATTTTTTGTTTTTGTGTGTCTTCATGGAGTAGGCTAGTACACGAGTGTTCTGATAGTTAGTATTGCGCCTGAGAATATTAGCTTGAGCTGCTGACCTCTTGCTTGTTTTGTATAATTTGGAGGATGCAGTGGATGTGCTACTTGCTGTATAGCCTTTTATGCTTTGATTGTGATTTCCACATTACAATTACGTGTACCTCTAGGTAGTTTGGTATTTATGTTTACTGAGCTACGTTTGGTGCTTGTAAGGTCAAATAGGATTGATTTAGTTGTGTCACTGTATTTGCATATCTATTATGTAGAGAATTTAACTATATTTAGTATAGTTCCAGACCAGGAGAATTCCGCAGTAAAGAGAAATTTGTTTGCAAATTCTGGGATATGAAAGGTAACAATGAATATAAGTTTAGACCAGTCTTTATATTAATATCTATGAATTTCTTGATATATTCAGTCATAATATGCTTGTTTGGAGTAGTACTAGGTGTTGTGGTTTTAGAGCTTGACTTGCCATAATGTAGATTAAGAGGTTAAGAAGAGAGAAGCCACTGGAGAAGCTAGTATTTGTAGGTACTTGCTGAGTAGTTGTTTCTGGTTCTGAGTATGCTTGGTTGTTGTTATTAGTAGCGGTAGTCTTGCTACCAGTTGCAGCATCAGTTGTTGCAGAAGGGTTCATAGGACCAATTCTGTATGAAGAGTAGAAGTTTGCCGGAAAGCTTCTTTTTTGTCTTCTGCCTGTGGTGTTAGCAGGAAAGATCTTGTAACTACTAGTATTTGTCCACTATATGCTAGTTTGGGTATCAAACAAGTTTAATTAGAAGCCAGAGATACATTAACTTAGTATAGTTTTTAGTTATTCACCTGAGAGTTTTTCTTTCTTGTTCCAGTTTTGGTAAAAGTGATCTACAGGAAGAGTTTTTTATAAATATAAATAATTATATACTGTTTTAATATATTTTATATACTAAGAAAGTTTACTTAGAATATTAAGATATTATATATTAGTAAAAATACTAAATTATTTAAAATTTTACTAATAAAAAATATCTTAATACTTTAAATAAACTTATTAAGTATATAAAAATATATTAAAATAGTATATAATTTATTATATTTGTAAATTATTTTAAATAATAATCTTAAATTTATATTTTTAATAAAATTTTATTATATTTATAAATTTTACTAACTTAGTTTTATAAATATAAATAATTATATATTATTCTAATATATTTTTATATATTAAGAAAATTTATTTAAAATACTAAAATACTAAATATTAATAAAATCTTGAGTTATAGTAACTTTTTTATAATTTTATTAATAAAATTAGAAAAAATATTAAATTATTAAAATTTTATTAATTAATAGTATTTTACTGCTTTAAGTAAACTTGTTTAATATATAAAAATATATTAAAATAATATGAATTAATATAAATATACCCTATAGAATATATTAAAATTTTTTGTACCCTTTATTTTAATTATATGATATTACATACAAAAACAGTAATACTGACATTGTTTAATAGTTTAGAATTAAGTAAGAACTATATTAGAGTTAGTATTTAGATAGTTATATAGTAAAATTGTTTAAGAAAAATTTTTAATTACTGTACAAAAGGTAGTTTAGTAAGCATTTTTTTGTATAATTAGTGATTTTTGTCAAGATGAATATTTGTTTTAAATTTTTCTAATCATATAACATTATACCTGATCTTGAATTTTATATTAATCTATATAGATTATATAATGCAGGTCTATATATCTTAGGGTACATATAAATAAACCCAAATAATATATAATTTTTTATATTTATAAAATTAATTTGTGCTTAGTAAAATTTATAAAATAGTAAATTTTTATTCAAAGGATTATTTATATGTACCCTAAGGTACATATACCCTATCACGTGCTTTTATATTATTATATTTAAATATTGTATAACAATTATAACTAATATATATAGATATATAGTAATTACGATTAGATGTGTATAATATAACTAAGACAAGCTCATACAAGCATATAATCTACTAATTTCTAAATATGTATAAACTCTAACCCTAATATAAATACTTTTATATGTATTTATTTTGAAGAACAGTCTCAAGAATATATAGCACTTACAGAAGCAGTTTAATTAGTATATGTGTATGTATAGTTTAATATTTTAGACACAAAAAATTTTTCTATAAGCTCTGCATTCCTTATATTAAAATCTGATTAATGCGAAATGATATAAGTAAATTAGTCATACATCCCTACAATGTGTTTTGTTATGTTTTATTTGCATCGATCAAAATATGTACGTATGTGCATACAAGACCTGACCAAAGTGAATATATAGCAAAATAGCATGATATGAAAACACACATTAGGATGGATATGTGGAAATTATAATACTCTAAAACAAAAAAGACCATCCTGTGCTTGCCCTAACACTAACCATTAACAAAGAAATTGAACATTGCCAATCTACATAAACCATACGAACCGTTAAAAATTAAATATAATTTCGTACATCTATCCAAATCTGTACTGCCATACAGTACTATTTTATTGAATATCTGGCCCTGTTACTAAGATTAATATGCCTTTGAAATTCTATATGAATGAAAATTATACAGTATAATCGAATGAATTAAATATTCATTGTTAAAAAATTTCCACTTTTAATGGCCCATGAACTTCTGTAAGCTTGAAATTACTCACTACAATGGTATTTACTTGTGTATTTTTAGAAGATACTAGTGTAATTATTTCGATATTACACAACTGACCCGTAGTCACTAAAGGGCTGAGAATTTTAATAACAGAACTGATACAGGATTATTAATGTGTAACAATTTAAATCTCAATTCATTTTAGCACAATTGACGCTATACAACAATTTTGAACATATGAACTTTATTTGAGTATTATCAAGAAAACCTAAAAATAATATTAGACAGAATTTTTAGGTTTTCTTTAAGTTACTTATTCAATATGAATAAGGGACACCTTGTCGTTTGTACCACGCTTCACAACCAGCTTTGTTATGACCGGTATTCTGACACTGTTGGCATTGAGTTGGCTTCCTAGACTTTTGTGCATTTGAATGTTTTTTGACACTAGGCTTTTTTTTACCATCTAATTCATGGAACCCCTTAAACCGTTTTCTCTTTGGAGCACCTCTTCTAGCATGAACTACTGGATCTTCAATTTCTATGAAATTTTCTTTGTTACTAGAGCTGCAATTCGAAGTGGTCTCGTCATCCTCTTCCTGTTGTATTTTACTTTTCTGTAGATGACTCTTTCTTTTTTTTTTGGTGCATACTTGTTTATAAAGCCATTCATAAATTCTTCAAGTTCTTTTATTGCAATAGTACCAGTATCTAACCCAGTTTAAATGGCTTTTTTTAACAATCCATTGACTGTTATATAGGATTTGTGGTAATTAATTTTAGAATGAATATCGCCAAAAGAAATATTCGGCAAATGAAATTATAAATCAGGAAAAGATTGTTCAGTATGAATTGAATTTTTTGTACTGTCCAATCCAATAATGAAAGGATGTAGAGATGTTTGAGTTTCCGATTCAACTGTTTTTTATTATTATACCATCTCTTTGAAATAAGCATGATGTGAAATGTAGCATAATTTGAAGTGGTCATGACTTGAAAAAAATGTTTACAAACCAACCCGCATTGAATTAATCCTAGACATGTACATAAATGTTTATTGTCTTTGAACAATACAACATAATTTTTAGTTTTACGTCTGTGCCGAGTAACCTCCCATATTTCAATAATGGATTCAACTTTCGTAGGTGGTATTAATTCACTAAGTAAAATAGCAGGTGCATCAACAGCATCTTCAATAAATATATCAAGCACCTCCATTGAATCAAACTGTTCAATTGAATTGGATAATTCAGTTGAATCAGATTGTTCAGTTAAGTAGAATTGTTCAGTTAAATCGGATAATTCAGTCGAATTAGGTAATTTAGTTAAATTGAATTGCTCTTCAAAATTGTCAATAAGGCGTGATATATACCAGATAGCTTGAGCGATCTCCTGTCATTGCATAGACAAGGAGGCTAGTATTAAATAGATAGTAATCAATTGATCAATTTCTGGTAAAATTTCAGAACTAGCGTGGGTAAGTGTAGACCCCGTAACAGAATGAATCTAGTTTTTGTATTGAACATAAGTAGATGCTCGATCGATTTGTTTGTCAATATGCTTAACAAGATTATTAAAGATGTGTTGCCATTTACTGAATTTTTAATTATGGCGTTTTGACCTTCAACTCTCTGTGTGGATTGCATTCCAGCATTAAAGACCTTAGAGGTGTAACAAATAGCCCAACGCTCTTTTTCATTAAAAAGAGCACGATTGAGATACGAAGTAGCATCAGGAAACTCTACTAAAAGTTTATTCCATAAATAATAAAACCATTGACATGAAGGAGAATTTCGCATTTGGTACCATTTTTTGGAAAAATCATTATATCGTTCTCCCATTCTGCCTTTCAAATTTTTAATTAAATTCTGTCCTATGTGGAATATACAATGGATGTGATATGTATTAGGTAATACATTGGCAATAGCAGCATTAACAGCAAGGTCATTGTCAGTAATTATTGTTAAAGGTGCAGCATTTGTATTTGAAATTAGGGTTTGCAATACCCATTCATAACTTTCAACTGTTTCATCGTTCATAAGGGCCTGTCCTACCAAACAAGACCGGTTATTATTATCTACTACAACAAAGAAGCCCAGCGCTATCTTAAAACGGTTTGTTAAATAAGTGTTATCGTGTTGGACAACGTCTCTGTATCGGATATACAGATCATATTGGTCTGGTGACATCCAAAATAAAGATGCACGAGAGTTATTTGTAGGATTAACCTTCCAGTCTATAATCCACCTAGTATCTTCAGCTTTATGCTCTAAAAGATGATTAAGTAACATAGCCGCCTCACATTCAACACGATTTTGTCATTTAAAGGTCTGAATAATATTTGAGAGGTCTTGAGACAAAAAAAAAATATTTGGATATTGACTTGTCAGCATTTGATACTGCGTCCTCATACTAATATTACCAATCTCAGTCCAGAATCTAATGTCTCTTAACATGCTCTCAGAAAACACCCAGTATTTTAATGCAAACCTATTGGTTTCATCCTTTATTGGATGATCATTATGATTCAGACAAAGGGAACTGATGCTCAATATGTCTGTTGTTTTTGGACAACTAGCACGAATGGCCCAATAACATCTAGTACGTTTACTTCATGTCTGTCATTGGTTCTTAGCGATATTAGTCTTGTTCTTTGCGCCGTTATATCCTTGATGTTCACAAGCATATCGACGAATTTGACAAACTCCCTTATCATATTCAGATCCACGTATAACACTAACAAAGTTTTGAGTTTTTGCATAAAGAGAAATAAAGAGATCAAATTTCTCCCAATCACGGAATATTTGTTCAACTGCTGGAGTGTCTATTGCTTTAGCCGAATTTTGGTCGCTTGTTATTTGAATTTTTAATTAGTTGAGAGATGAATATAATATTTTATCAAGTTAAAAGAGGTTAAAAGGTTTAACATACCTTTGTGAAATATTAACAAGTTGCTCTTCAGCTGGTCTGGAATTATCTTCGCTTTCCATTTTTGTAAAAGGCAACTCAAACAAGTTTTTTTTTCGATCTAAAACATATATCTAAAATTGGTATGTTTCACAGCATTAAAATACTATAACCTTATTTAAACCTTTTATAATAACGATAAACAATATATCTATACAAGTATTGGTGCATGCCAAATTTTAATGGCATGCTACTAAAATTTGGCTTATGATGACAACTCTAATTACAGGTTTTCAAGACCACCAACATACCTGCGAAACAGGTATTTCCTTTTAACACCTATTGTAGTACTTGTGTATTAAAACTGTTCAACCCGAAGAATAAAATTGAAAGCTAGTATTTGCGTTTGCTATTAGCTTTTTTTTTACAAGAGAGAAAAGCTTTTTTAGCTCTGTCTCTTGTTCATATTTATATCCAATAGCAATTTACGTTATTTGTTTACTACGTATTTAATTTATTATCTACGATTTATTCTCTGATGCATACGATCGTAATTGTTTATTATGTTGTATAACATATGATTAACAAATTTGTGACAGGGTACATAAAATTTTAATATACCCTAAGGGTACAAATAAATTAATTCTTATTCAAAATATAAATTTAAAATTATTATTTAAAATAATTTTAAATATAATAAATTATATATTGTTTTAATATATTTTTTATATATTGAACAAGATTATTTAGAGCAATAAAATACTATTAATTAATAAAATTTTAAATAATTTAATATTTTTTCTAATTTTATTAATAAAATTATTAAAAAGTTACTATAACTCAAGATTTTATTAATGTATAGTATCTTAGTATTTTATATAAACTTTTTCAATAATACAAATCAATAACTTTTTTTGATGATCACTTGTACCAAATTTTTTCTAAAAATAATTACTCTATTCTCTAAATTTACTAAATAAATCTACTTTGGCTATCTATATAAAACTGTTTTATAGTAAATTTTATATATAAGTAGTTTAGCTCTAAACTTTTAGGGCCCTTCTTTTCAAAATTATAATTAATTTTTTAAAATTTATTTCTATTGGCCAAAACTCAAAATTTTAGTAAGTTAATATTCTATACTTTTTAATACAAAAAGATTTAGCTTATCAATAGCTTCATTTTGATATATAATATACTAAAAACAGTTTAAAATTGACAAAACTACAATCAAAACACTTCTAAACTCTGTTATAAAAACTATATCTAGTTTTTACAAAAATTTTTTTTATTTTTTGAAAATTTCTGTCTCTCTAGGATGCCCAAGATTTGTAAATTCATATTACTACAGTCAGATCTCCCTATAATCACCAAGTCTGTCACGCCCTATTTTGGTGATTGTTTAGAGGTGTGATTATAAACAAATATCAGATTAATATCACATGATCTTCAGCCAATCAATAATTGTCGCAGATCATAATGAAATCGGATTAAATGAAATGAAGGGTTTCTATTTGACCCCCTAAAACCCACTTATACTTGTTTATTATAAAACCTGCTTCTAAACCC